TATTAATATTTAACAATTAATTATTTAAATGTTTATTTTGTTGAAAAAAATATACATTGATAGTGTACATTTTCTGTACTTAACATCCATGTGACCCTAAGTCTGGACAAAAGATCCCTTTCTATAAGTTTGGCTGGTATATCTCAAAGGCGTCTCCTGCCTTGTCAGTGGCATGCCTGCTCACCAACAACCCTACCCCATTTAAATAACAAATTCAGTTGGACAAATAAAAATTAAAGAAACAGAAAATTTGGGAATGATTAATTTATACAAAACATACCAAACAAAATCCGATCCATTTTATTTTACTAACATCAGAGCCCAAATGCAATTTCAGGGCCGCCAACCCTGCTCTGAATTGCAACCTCCTGTGCTTGAAACGAGTTGCAGATTCTCTTGATATTCCTCTAGAGTTTGTGACCTGGTCACAGTGCCATCCTTAGAGGTAGGATCGTCGCAGGAAACTTTCGGCTAACATGTCAGCCTTCTCTAGTCTGGGAAAGATTATCAAAAGCGTCCTTGACGATTGATGCAGTCTTGATGCATTCCAGGACCATGGGCCCCTCCCCTGGAATTCGGTTGCATCATTGTATCATTGAGCGAAACTTGGTCAGATTAGCCTTGTGTACACGAGGAAGATGTGAGAATAACTGTAAAGTGTTCAAGGTAGCGTGCGTGCTTCAACGCTTGCTATTTTCCGATAATCAAACATTGCATATTTGAATTGTTTCTTCTGAAACAGTCAATGCTGCCTTGACGTCTTGTAGTTAAATTATAGTAATATTAATATTATTATTACGATTACGCAAAGCAAAATATTATCAATGAAAATCTTGTAATTACCCAGCGAGTTCTGTTCTGCATTTTGATTTCAATGAAATATCAATGCAAATTAAAAAAAAGTACCTCTGGTTAGTTATTAACACTTCGTCTTTAGAAGACTCATCTGTCAAAAAATAAATTGTTTTCCAAAAAAAAAAAAAAAAATCAATCAATTCGCGTCTGTCCTACCAAAAAAAAAAACCAATAATTAATGTGTTACACGAGCATAGTGGAAAGTTTGTTGTTACACGAAATGTCATACAGAACTCATTGCTCCTGAAACTTTACCAGTATATAGTTGTTACCTCTCTAAATTGGAGATCAAGTTCAGATCCAATTCAAACCCAGTTTATCACTTTTTATTGCCAGAATGTTTGCCGTGTATTGTAAAGCTACTTTGCACAATATAAAAAATTAGTGTGACATTTCAAATTTCCACTATGCTTGTTACACGTCGATCAAAAAACTCTTTATTTATTATTTCTTTTAAAAATCAATGCCTAAAGAAACCAGCAAAAGAGGCAAATTAAATAATCGAGCTAGCGGAAGTGGGTAAGTGTTTTAAGGATGGTGGTGGTGGCTGTCGCCACTCGTCGTCATTTTAGTTTATAAAAAAAAATGAAATTAATTAAAATTTTTCATTACTTTTTAGCCAAGAACGGATATTAATTGATATTACAAATCAAGAAAATAATCGTATTGTTCCAACTCATATTCAAAAATTTAATCAGGAGCTATCTAAATTAGTAATTATGCGATTTGTTTTACCTGAGAAATTTTTATTTATTGATCAATAAGAAATACCCTTTACATTCATTATTCAGGATAATTATACAAAAGATAAAGATGTTAATAGTTTATACGTAAAAGTTCTCACTTTTTTCGAAGAAATTGGGCGAAGGTACAACCTGGAAAGTGTTGCAGATGACTTTTCGTGCCTGTCCTTCGTTATCGACTTTCATGACCCATATGGAAAACTAGACAGTCTTTATCGAAAATACTTTGGAATCAATTATAAGGACATAGAAATATATCAATCATGTGACATTTTTCATGTAAATAAACATTTAGATAAGTACATTAAAGAATCAATCGAAAAAGACCTATTGGCTATTCCTGATGATTATGGGGGTTTGGATGAAATTTACTTTGAGTTGGCTGGTAAAATAATCGAAAATTTGTAAGTTATCTTGCACTTTTGATTAGGATCAATAATTATTGTAATTCATTTATTTAAATATTTCCAGAAAGATCCTGAATAAAAAAACTCATTTCAAAACAAAGAAAGATACATTAATGGATGAAGGGACATGGACGAAATTGACAATTGATGCCTTCTTTTATTCGATGATTAAATTTTTTGATGATAATTTGGTCATTTGTTGGTATGATAAATATTAATAATAATATTGTGTACATGATTGATTCACCTTATTCAATAAGTATCATTATTTTTATATAGGGGTGAAAGTATTAACAAAACTACAAAAGGTGCAGATTTAACACTAGATTATGATACAATAAAAATCAATACTAAAAGCACCAAAAATCAACAAGGAAAAAAACCAGAAATCACTGTGTATTGGAGAGACGAACATTTTGAAACAACAGTATGCTTAGTAGAGGCGAGTTTTGGTCCTTTTGCAGAACCTGACATGATAAAACAAGAAGGAGATAGACGTAAACTAATTAATTGCATTAGAAGATCTTCAGAAACAATGTGGAATTATTTTGTGGAAAAGTGTAATAAATATGTCAATAAAGAGCAAATAGATCAAATAAAGAACATACAAAGGCCTTTGATTCATTTATATGGTATGAATCTTTACCAATAAATAATTCAATAACTTTTAATTTATTGATTAATTATTCATAATTTATTTTTTTTGTTAGATACAAGCATTTGTGTACTATATTATGACGAATCATACTTTCCAATAGGAAGGATTAGACTACATCGAGAAATAAAAATTCCATATAATACATTGGAAGTTAATGTTGTCAAGGAATTCATTTGTTTAATACTTTTAATTTTTAAAAATATTCAAGATTCTAATAAGTTATTTAAGTCAGTGATGGAAAACATTGGTAAAAATCAGATGCATGGGAAGAGAACAGATCCAATTTCTTCTTTAACTTCTCATTATCCTTCAAAGGGATCATCTCCTAGGCAATCTAAAAAACAAAGGACAACAAAATGATAATAAGTGTGATATATAATAAAAAAATTAATTTGATTTATTAAATGATGCGGATGGTTTTAACTTGATAACAATATTTGATTAAAACATAAATAAATATTATATTTTTATATAGGGGTACCAGTAACAAAATCAAAATCTAACTTAGTTTGCAATCTACCACACTTTAATAGTTACCATTTAAGATAACAAATGGGACATTATAAAACTGTTAATTATGATCCCTGAAATCTTTGATATGCAAATGTTCACTTTGTCTTGTTTTGTTGCAGTCTGCCCCATATATAAATAATTATTAGTAAATATTATTGTGGGACTAGTGAAAGGATCACTTTCCCTGGTACAGCAGAAATTACACGAACATTTCCAATAAAATGTAAGGAGCAATCTTTTCTTCTTCAAAATGTACTATAATTCTTGGGTTCCATGTAGATCTGATGTAAATGAATTTCATATTATTATTTAATATAAGGATAGTTCTATATATCACTTAACAAATGGGATATTATAAAACTAATTGTGATGATAATAACTAAATTTTGATCCCCGAAATTCTTGGTAATACCAATATTCACTTTGTCTGGTTTTGTTGCAAGCATGCCCCATATACCATGTGGAAATTCTTTAGAAACGGATCTTTCCCAAAAAGGTAATCTCATATGATCTTCATAGTTAATCAGAACATCATTATAAAAAAGTTTTTTTAACAAATTTATTATATAATATAATGAATGATAATAAATATTTACAAAAAATTAAAAAATAAAATAAAAAATAAAAATTTTTAATTAATCAATTAATAATGATTATATTATTATTATTTATTTATCTAATTAATTAAAAGAAAAATTGCCACCACAGCCAAATCACAATTACAATCAATTATGAAAGATTTGAATTTTACGCACAATTTTTTTTTTTAAATTAATTTTTTTTTATCCAAATATTATTATATTTATGTTTAAAAAAAATTTTTAAAATCATTAATTATATAATCCATCATCTTCTTATCTTAATTAATTCTCCAGTTTGCGTGTGGAACGTGTGAAAGTAATAATGGTGAATATGATTGTTGTAGATGTCCAGTCTGTGGATTTATTTGATTATGTTGTTGTTGTGGTGGTGGTTGTTGTTGTGGTGGTGGTTGTGGTTGTGGTTGTTGAGGTATAGATACACTAACAGGAACACCATTTGTCATATGTAATCTTTGAATTTTTGGAAGCCACTGGGCCGGTGATGGCCGTCTACCATAAGCATCAGAGTGATTCATCGTCACACCAGCAGATCCTAATGAAATGCCATTTTGTGCTATAGTTCGAGCATCACCATTCAAACGTGCTGCGCGAAGATCAATGTTCATACGTGGATCACGACCAACAACATTTGTTGACAAATTATTGCTACCAATGATAATACTACCATTACTACTACCATTATTATTATTATTATTATTATTATTATTATTATTATTACTATTATTATTATTATTGTTATTATTTGGATTGTGATTATTAGGATTATTATTACTATTAAGGTTATTATTAATGTTGTTATTATTATTTATATTATTACTATTGTTGTGGTTATGGTTATGATGGTGGTGGTGATGATGGTGGATTGAACTATCTTCATTAGAAGTACGTATGAATTTTTGTGCAATTTGTTTATCCTTTAAAAATTTTTTTGTAGCACTAAGATTAAAGAAATCTTCATCTTTTAGCCAATTCCATCGGTTTATACTTATAACATATAAATAAATATATAATGTGTGTAAAAGAAGTAATAAAATTAATAAGTTCAGCTTTTTTGACAAAAATTTTTTTTACTTTATAAACAAAAGCCATTAAATTATTAATCATACCTTTCAGTCACATCATCCATTTCATTTCCAAATGGCTCCTCTTCACTGAAAATTTCATCCATTTCATCCATATCATAAGCAAACTTTGATGATATTGGTGTTTTTTCTGATGTTGATGATGGATTAAGCAATTTATTATAGGAAGAAAAATCCAAGCGATCAAAAACATGGTAATTTCGACCCCCACGCCCAACCCGATTTCTAAAAGCTGAAGAAACAACATTTTTAGAACGATACGGCGACTTTGTATCGTTCAATGTCCTAAACAGGCTCGATGCAGCTGATTTTCGTATGGGTAAATATGGATACTTTTTTAAAATAAAAATAAAATAAAAAAATTGAATATTTACAGGTGCGGAGATAAATAAAATAATACAATAAAAATTGAAATTGTCAAAGAATTCAGAATAAAGAGTAGTGCATACATCTGTTATATCAGTGCGTTGATAATCTTCTTTATATATTTTGTTTCCTATTTTTGATCGTGATATGCTAAAAATTTTATAATTTTTATTAATATAAAATAATAGTAATAATAATAGCAATAACAATAATATCAATGTGTCCATACCTGGATGAATCGATATTTGTAGTTGATGATTTTCGACTCTTCTATTTAATCATAAAGATTATTGAATAATAGATAAACAAGATTAAAAAAAAACTATTGTTATTTAATTTTCTATTTAATTGATTAATTACCCTTATAACGTCAGTAGTTTCACTTTTGATGCCCAATTTCTTTCTCATTGCTCTTACAGAACATTCCTTTTCAAAAATCTTACGTTCAAGGTCAACCTTTTGTTTCTTTGTTTTCTCTCTAAACTTTACATTCAAAATTATGACTCTGCCGTGGTTTATATCACGCCTTATCATCCTTAATTTATCGAAAGATGCATTTTCACTACGGCGAGTTTTCCTTATTGGTTTAAGTTCACGACGGCGGAAACATGTCCAGGGATGTTCTTCCTCTTCTTTACCCTCTTGTGTCTAATAGATAAATAACATACATATATATATATATTAAAATTTATTTTTGTCTCGCCGAAAAAAAAAATAAATTAACTAATTAAAAAAAAAGTAAAGGAAATACCTTAATCTTAAACATTAATGGACCAGGTTTTCTATAACGCATCATTCGTGCATTACGTTTATTTTTCCAATATAGGTAAACCACTTGAGCGACATCTTTGAAAGCCAGCAGTTTTTCTGGTAAACATTCTTCGCAATCTTCCCAAGTAGGTAGTTGTTTTTTTGCCTAATAAAATATATTAATTAATACATTAGACGAAAAGATAATAATTAACACAACTTCCAAATAAATACTAGTGATAAATGATCACATACCAATAATTGAATTTTATTATTTGCTATATCTTCAAAATGTTGCATTATTTCTTCAAATGTGTCCTCGGATAAAGAATCATCATGCTTTTCATTATATTCATTAAACCAAGCATCATCTTGTTCGTCCATACAATAAAAGCACCCTATACATTCTTCTATAGGTAATGAAAATCGGATATATGTTGAAGGTTTTGACCATTTGTGATTCTTGTATAATTCGGAATAATAGGATATTCGTTTATTGGATGAAGGTACCGGAATAGCACCAGAACTTGTTGGTAAGTTGCCTCGGTCAATTTCGGAAGCACGTTCTGCTAACGCTTTTATTAAATGTATTTCCTACATTAGCAAAATATTAAAATAAAATAAATGATTTGCAATTAAAATTTCCCGAAAGATTATTAATATTGATTGAAGACTGTTTGTTGAATGAGCCATGTGATGACATAATCGGCAAAAATTACCGCAGCAAAAATAAGTAAAAAAAATAAAGGTAATTCTTATATAATGTATATATATATTATTTACAAGTTTTTTTAAATTGGTTCGCTAAATGTAAAGGACGATTTTACATATTTATATTTTATAGAATTGTTAATTTTCCCAACATACCTCCTCCTCTTCCTTTTCTACCCCTGTCTCTATTTCTAACCCTGCTCTACTTATAGGTATTAAATCTTCTTCATTTATTTCACCAGGTGTATAAATTCGAAGAGTTTTTTTAGTGTCAATCTTACGGTTACGAAATGACTTGCGGTTGATAGTACTGTTTGGATGAAACGTCATGTTATAGGAGTGTGGCGCAGTGGCAGGATGAGGGAATTTAAGAGAAGCCGAGGTTGTTGTTTTAACTTTGTTTTATGGTTAAGTATATAGTTTATAACGTAAATATTACTAATATTATAATATTTTTTTATAAATTTTTATATAAAAGTATTAATAATAAATTTTTGAAGAGCTTTATTTTTTTTTAATTTTTAATTTTTTTTTGTATTATTATTCTTTTTTTTTTTACTTCGGCTGATAATATAGCCTATGAAAATTTATTATTAATAAATAATGGTAATTATTTTTGTTTCTCCCTTGGTTTTTTTTACTTGGTAGAATTTTGTTTGTCGTTGGTTGGGGCAAGATAAACCAAGAAAAAAGGGTAATGTTTGAAGCACCCTAAATTGTGATGAGTCATAAAAAAATTTTTTTAAAATAAAAAAAAATAAAATAAAATCATTACTAACAATTTAATAAAGTTGTAATTACCGTATTAGTATTATTAAATAATGCCACGTGATACCTATTATCTATTTATTTCGGGATGCTTTTTTTTTTGTACAATGCAAAAAAAAAATTTTTTTTTGTATTCTATGATTAACATATGGCGATCTTTTTTTTAAAGATGTTTGCTGCGCGATTTGTTGGTAATCTTTTTCCTGTTTAATATTAATCTACATTGAAATTTTTAAATCCTTGGAAACTGGTAAAACAATCTTCGAGCTTTTACAAAGAAAATGATGAATCATCTATTGTAATATTTCCAACCTAGATTTAACATCAAAATACTGCTACATTCATAACGAGCAACCAAGAAATAAATGTATATTTGAATATTATTTGGGTACGTCAATCTTAAGATATAACATTTGTGCAGGAATCTCGCTCATTCAATTCTACCATTTGATTACCAAGTCATTGATGTAAGTTAGTGTACATCATATGAATTAATCTTATTGATCGTTTGATTGACCTCCAAGCTAATTTTGATATTGAGTTTCTCGAACAGATTATTGTTTGGTAATAGTAAACTAGATCTTTTCATAATTTGATTTTGAAAAAAATTTTGTTTCAAAAAAAGTAAAAAGAAAATGATGAATCATGAGAAATTTATTGGTTTTTTAAGTTACCCTCAAAATAGTATGTCTAGACTTTGAGCCCCATAATTTTCTTGTAAGTCCTATTTTTAATTATTAGGGAGAAACAACAAATAAAAGTTAATTCACACAAAAATAAATTTGTGATAAAGGAATTGAATTGAGTGTAACGAATAATTTGAAATGTGTATCAAATCATTTGCACAAACATAAACATGACAATGTTAAAATGTTTACCTCGTAAAATTTTTGGTGGGCGAAAGAATTTTATGGAAGAGCTTCTACACCAATTTTCAAGAAATAGGGTTAGGTGTTTATCGTATATTAACATTAATATAATAGATAGCATTCCCAAATTCAATTTTTTGTATACATGAATAACAAATTTGTAGCAGTTGTATGACATTTTGGTGATTTGGTGTGAATGAATATTGTAAGGTGAATATTATGAACGATATTAAGAAGATTGAGAAAGATGGATGTCAATAAAAAATTATTATTTCTTGAATCCATTTTGTGGATATATATATATATATATACTATATACACAAAGGTAAGATTTAACCATCCAAATCAAAATAGACCTTCTTTACCAACAAACGCTTAATCCTGATGCAATTACCAAAGGCAAATTCGTAGTTAATAAATATAATATAAAAGCATTGATTTGTTATATTATATATACACATATATATTTAAATAAGACAAAATAATCACCAGACCAATACTTTTCATTAATAAAATTCTATCCTTTCCCTTTCAATACGTTTGAAACAGCAGTATAGATAGTGAACATGAGCATTCTAACATTTTAGTTTGTAATTTTTATTGGGAAAAAAAAATTGCAATAATTAAATGTCGATCAACAAAAATTCATATAAATAATAATGACGTCATCAAACAATCTACCTTTTTATTGAAAAATTAAAACGAATCTTTAATTTCGGCTTCCTCCATTTTTTTCAAGAAAAATAATGTGCCCCTCCCCATTATGAACAGTGAGGAACAATTATCCACCACGTCCTTTTCCCATCAACAGCAGTCTTTTTCTTCTTCTTCTAATAATAATAATACTAGTATTTCAAACACATCAAAAATAAAACCTGCTACTGCAACTATTATTGATTCTATTTCCTCTGCAGCTAAAAACTCAAGCACTCCTACAAATATTTATTACAACATCAAAAAAGTTCCTAGCTCTTCAATTACAAGATCTTCGTTGTCGGTCCCATCCTCTACCTCATTCTCCTCATCCTTGTCCAACTTTCTTCTTCAATTTAGATCCCGTACTAATCTTACTATTATTGTAAAAGCCCAAATTTCTTTTTTACTGTCGAGGATTTCCGTTGAGAATTACGCTCAATCTGTAACAGAGCTTAACACTGTAAGCCATATATACATTTACACATATACACAATTATATTTATTTTTAAATAATTAATAAAAAAGTTTTTCCTTCTTTTTCTTTTTGATAATTTGATTTACAACGCATATAATAATTTTCTAGTTATCAAGATACAACGGACAGGACACCTATTTTTATTTATTAAGACAATTAGTAATAGTAATCAATACTTTACCCAGAAAAAATAATAATATTGAGATACTAAAACATCTTTTAACTGAAAAAATCGAAGAAATTTCTATTGATCCGTTACTTTTAAATATATTTCGTGAAGTATTAAATTCTATTGATAACAAAAGCTTGTTTAAAGATTTTAATTTGGATAGCCTTTTGGGTAGCAAGGGAATCAATCTTCCGTTTGCTCTTTCCACGACTACAACGTGAGTAAATTTATATAATATATTATTTTATTTTTATTTATTTATTTATCGCGAAAATAATTGTCTCTAAATTTTCTTTCTATTAAATTTTTTTTTAGTCAAAAATATCAAACCATAATGAGTAATGATGATAATATTGATCAAAATAATAACTTAACTTTACCAAAGATTTTGTTAGATTTGGGAAGTAAATGTTGTAGTACTGTTAACTCATTCAATGAAGTGTTGGCTAAATTAGGTGTTCATTCATCTGCATCTGGTGAAATCATTAAAGAGGTTGATGTTGCTCATGCACTTGGTGTTATGACTCTTACAACTGCTAATCTTGAAGATGATAGTAGTAACATTGCCTGGAATCAATCAAACGATCTTTTCGATAATAATAATTCAAATTGGAATGTGGAAATATTTGTTTCGTCTTTATCCGAACTGGTTAGTATTGATTACCTTCTTAAATAATTGCCACATTTATATAGAGAGAAAAATGTTAATTTAATATTTTTCTCTTTAATTTAAATTATTTATTTATTATCATCATTAGCAACCTCATCTAGATTGGGTAAAAGTTATAAAACAATTAGACTACCCCGAGTTTACTATTAAAGATACAAAGGGAGTTCAACTAATTTTAACTGCTTTTAGAAAAGCAGCCAAGGTAACTAATTATTACATACACAAATATATGTACATAGACATAATTATAATTATTAAAATTTTTTCATATAAAAATATTTAGGATCAGCAAAAATTTCCAATTCATTTATTTTGGGGCAGTTGGAGCAACCTTAAAGGACAATTTAGTTTTTTACATCAACTTATACAACTTTCACCAGATGCTTTCAATATTAATGATTATCCTGTTCAAAAAGTTTTAACTATTGATGATTTTCCTAATTCTCCCACAAATTCAAAATCATTGTCTGAAATGTTGACATCCTGTCCATGGAATTCACTTGAATTAATTGAAACGTTAATAAAAATGGCTGATACTGATTTATTTGAAGATGTTAGGGTCACTTTTGAACTATCCATTAAGCAAGCTCCAGAATTAATATGTTTAGGTCTAGTTCAAATTCAGGTATATATGTGTTTATATTTATAAACAATTTCTTTTTACTATTTGCATTATCACCAAAGGATAATTTATAACAGTAATAATAATAAAATAATAATAATAATTTAATAATCATCGTTGTTGTTGTCTATTATTATCTATTAGAGACCATGGAATTCTTTACATATAGAATTTGTTAATAGATTATTATCAACATTTTTGACAGGTCATCTTAATTCAACATTGGTGTTATCTCGTATATGGAATATTGACAACAATATTTTTATTGAAAGTTGTCTTGAAATGTACAAAAAAGATCCTTTCACTATTACAAGACTATTAGATGTATCACAAGAATTAAAGGTTAACTCTTATTATAATTATTATTAAAATTTTTTAATTTAGACCATATATATTTATATTTATAGTTATTTGTTTGTTTACTTGCTTTCTTATATAGGTATTAAATTCATTGCTAGAAGTTCAATATTTCTTGTTTACCATTGATTTAGCAGCTCTTGCATCTAGAAGAGAATATCTAAACTTGGAAAAATGGCTTCAAGAAAAAATAAATGAACACGGTGAAGCATTTGTTCATGATTGTATGGAGTTTCTTAAACAAAAGATTACACTAGAAGTTACTCATGAAACGAATGGTAATGATCAAGCTGTTCGCTTAGCAGATGAAGTTGTTCTTAAATTTTTACGAGTTATCTCCAATAGGTAAGAAATTTAATAATAAATATTTTTATTAGATAATATTTAAAATTTTATCAATTATACTTAGTATAAAATATATATATGTTTGTTTCCTTTTTAAAGTAACATGACTCCAGAAAATGAAGAGTACTTTAAAGAAATTCGTAAAACATTAGCACAAATATATCCATCTCTTAGTATTATTCCACTTGATGGTAGTATTCCTCCTCCATTAGAACAATCTTTTCCTGCTGAAATTGAAGAGATCGCCAATCTATATTTTGAAAAAGTTTATCGTCAAGAAATAGAAATTGAAGATATGATTAAAGATTTGCAAAGATTAAAAAATTCTCAGAACTCTCGAGAATCTGAAATTTTCTCTTGTATGATACACAATCTATTTGATGAGTATCAATTTTTACCAAAATACCCCCAAAGAGAATTGAACCTAACTAGTATCATTTTTGGATCTCTCATTAAATATCAACTTGTAGGATATGTGGCACTTGGTGTTGCTCTACGATATATACTAAGTGCCCTTAAGAATCCTGTAGATTCTAAATTTTACATTTTTGGAATTCAAGCATTAATGCAATTTCAATCAAGACTTCTTGAATGGCCACAATACTGTTCACATCTTTTACAAATTCCACAATTACAACAATCTCATCCAGATATTATTCAATATGTTAAGTCAGCTCTTGCTGCAAATGCTGACAATAACAACATTGATGACAACAACAATAACATTGATATTGAGGCACTAAATATCGTTAATAACAACAACAACAACAACAGCAACAACAACACTAATAGTGACAATAATAATAACAACAACAACAACAACAACAACAACAACGGCAGCAACAATGATAACAATAACATTACTTCTAGCCCCACTAATCTAAGTAATATTGGTAGTAGTAGTAGTATTATTAGTTTTGAACAGCAACCTATAAAATTTCTTAACAATAGTATAATTAATGATTCTATGAATAACCCTGAACAATCAAATAGAATAATTGAAAAACCAATTTTTACGGCATTAACTTTGGATACACTTTTAGCAGCTGACAAAGCTGATTACGAAATTCCAAGCGAAGCAGTTCAAGATAAAATCCTTTTTATTATTAATAATGTTGCTCAAAGTAATTTTGAAACTAAAGTTGCCGAAATGAAAGAAATTCTCAAAGAATCACATTATAGATGGTTTGCTAATTATTTGGTTGTTAAGAGGGCCAGTATCGAATTAAATTATCATCAACTTTACCACCAATTTCTTGATGCTCTTGAAATACCAGAACTTTATCATCATATTTTGCATGAAACTTTTTCAAATATTAAGGTTCTATTGAATTCTGAAAAAACAGTCCATTCTTCATCTGAAAGGTCTTTATTAAAAAATCTTGGATCATGGCTTGGTGGTTTGACACTTGCCAGGAACAAACCTATCAGGCATAAAAATATAGCATTCAAGGTATTTTTAATAATAAAATGATATCATTATCATTATAATTCATTTTAACAAAAATTATTGATATATATTTAATTAAAAATTATTAGGAATTGCTAATACAAGGTTATGATAGTAGTAGGTTGATAGTAGCAATTCCATTCGTTTGTAAAGTTCTTGAACAAGCAGGAAAAAGTAAAGTTTTTAAACCGCCAAATCCATGGTTGATGGCAATTATTAAACTCTTGGTGGAATTGTATCACAATGCTGAATTAAAACTAAATTTGAAATTTGAAGTTGAAGTTTTGTGCAAGAGTTTGAATATTGAGCTCAAAGATATCAATCCAACAACTATTCTCAAAGATCGACCTCCCAAGGAATCTGCTGTTTTACAATCAGAAAGACCCCTAGCAGAATGGCCTACAAATAACTCTGTTAAGATTGAACATCAAATACCTAGACCACCAAGCGTTACACTCACACCTAACCCACCATCCTCATTACCTTTGAATGGTAAGTATTAAATACACTTCATGTTATATTTATGTATTTTTATATATTTTATTTATAACGATACAATTATTCTTTTAAAGACGATGTTATTCCAAATATTTCTCAGTATATTACATTCAACCCTACATTATCTATATTTGTTAATCAACCAACATTGAGGAAAATTGTTTATTTGGCTATTGATAGAGCGATTAGAGAAGTAAGTTTTATAAATTTACATAAAAAACCATTGTTTTAATTTTGATTTAAAATTTATAATAAATATTTTTTGAAATATAAAAGATTATTGCTCCTGTAGTTGAACGATCTGTTACTATTGCAGGCATTTCTACTCGTGAATTGATATTTAAGGATTTTGCTATGGAACCAAATGAAGAAAAAATGCGTAATGCTGCTCATTTAATGGTACAAAATTTGGCAGGAAGCTTAGCCTTAGTTACATGTAAAGAACCCCTTAAAATCAGTATGGCAACGCATTTAAGGACTTTATTTTTGCAACATGGTTTTAGTGAGGTAGAATTATATTACTTATTTGTATTTTTTAAAACAATTAAATTTTTTATTTTATGTACATAATTATTCAATTTAATTTAAAAAATTTTCAACAGCAAAATAACATTGAACAAGCAATTTTAATTTTGGTTTCTGATAACCTTGAGTTGGCATGTTCAGTTATTGAAAAAGCAGCAATGGATAAAGCGGTGCCTGAGATTGATGAAGCATTATCAACAACATTTAGTAATCGTAAGAAACATAGAGAGGTGGTTATTATTTTATTTTATTGTTTGTCTGTTTATATGGGCATTTGATATTGAATAATCGAAATTATTGATATTCACACAAAAAGTTTTTTTCCCAGAGAACTGGTCAATCATATTATGACATGTATCCTGGTGTTTCAAGATATGCTAATAATCTACCTGATCCTTTACGTTTAAAACCTAATGGTTTGCAGCCACAACAATTACGTGTATATGAGGACTTTTCAAGAATCCTGCGTTTCAATCCAATATATGGTAAACAAATCTATTCAATGTATAATAACAATTTAAAAAACCCCCAAAACCCCAATAACTTTATTTTCATATTTATTTTTGAATATAGATGAACGTGTACCTAGACTGAATATGTCTAGACAAGATTTTCAAATTAATAATCCATATACTATGCCGGAAATGCCTTATGATTCTGCAGCAGCAATTTCACAAGTCCCAATGCATATTACTTTTGAAAAGTTTATGGTAATTAACTTTTTTTTTTCTAATAAATATATATAACTAACAACATTAATATGTATTTATATATTTATTCCTCTTCCTAGCAATATCTTTCTGAATTAGATAAATTAGTCAACAAAACACCACAAGCTTCTTGGGCTGCTTTACCACCTAATCATGAAATATGCATCTTGGTCAAAGAAATACCAATCTTAGCAACTCAAACCTATAACCGTGATGAAACAGCTCTGATGTTCTCACAAAAAGTCGTACAACTTTTATACAAGAATGATTCTAATTTTTCTCGAGAAGTTTATGTTATTTTACTTGAGAAACTCTGTGAAATTTCTGTTAAAGTTTTCAAAGAAGTTACAGCATGGTTGTTATATTCTGATGACGAAGTATGTATATATGTATGGTGATTTGATATTTATTATTTTTAAAAAAAAATTAATCAATAATTGCATTATTTGTGTAGCGCAAATTCATTGTGCCTGTGGTTGTTTCTTTGATCAAAGCTGGTCTTATTAACGTTGCTGATCAAGATTTACAGCTTGCCAAATTAATTGAAAATGGAAGGTCTGTTGTCATAGACTTTACGACAAAATTAATTCATGAATGTGTTCTCAAAGATCAACCTTGCGCTACTCGTAATGATTTTATATATTCATTGGATGCTTTAACCCGACTTGCTCAAAGGGGTAAAGCAACTGAAGTGTAAGTAATAGATTATAATTATTATATATATATAAATTTCTTATTAATCAAATTTATACATTATTTTACAAGTGTTAAACAAATATTGGATGATTTATACCCTCCTCGTATTGTTAGAAATAATATTGTAATTAATGATGTTAATGATGTTGATGATGTGGAATTGCGTGATCAACTGGCACATCTCTTTACAGAATGGATCAGAGTTTATCAGGATCCATCTTCGGGTGAAAAGACTTATACTAGCTTTATTCAGGTAAAGATGCACATTATGTTGTATTTTTTTAAATATTCATTTGATATTTTTTAAAGAAAAACTTTTAATCATATTCCTCCTTGTTTTCATCATCACCATCATTATCATAGAAGCTACAACAGCAAAGTGTATTAAAAGGGGAAGAAATATCTTCAATGTTCTTTAGAGTTTGTACTGAAATTAGTATAGATATTTACCTAAGACAAAGATCATCTCACCAAAATACACCTGCTGTAGCTTATCAAGCAATTGATGCCTTTTCTAAACTTATTGTTCTTTTGGTGAAATATCACACAGACACTGAGGGTATTGATGATAATGTCGCAAAAATTTCTTACCTGACAAAAATATTATCAATAATTATACTGATTTTAGCACAAGCACATGAACAACGTAGCCAACAATTTAATCAAAAACCATTTTTCCGATTGTTCTCAAGTTTATTAAACGATTTAAATTATTATGAACAACAATTTCAATCAATTTATTTTCAAATACTTATAGCTTTAAGGTTTGTCTCTTGTTTTTTATTTTTATTTTTATTTTTTTATAAATATTCACTAAAAATATTTACTTTAATTACAAAACAAACTATTACAATAACAGCAACAATACTTTTCATACTTTACAACCCTCTTTTTTCCCTGGATTCACCTTTGCATGGTTTTCATTGATCTCACATCGACTATTCATGCCGAAATTATTATTAGCAGAAAATCAAAAGGTTGGCTTTTAATTTCTTATATATTGAACTTGGTTGAAATTACATTAAAAATTATTAATAAATGAATTTTATTTAATTGATTATTCAGGGATGGTCTACTTTCCATAATTTACTCCTATGCTTGTTTAAATTTCTGGTTCCATTTCTTCAAAATGTTGAGATGAGAGACACCACACGTTTATTATACAAAGGAACATTACGTGTTTTACTTGTTTTGTTGCATGATTTCCCAGAATTTCTTTCTGGTTATCACTTGAGCTTTTGTGATGTGATTCCATCAACATGTATTCAATTAAGAAATCTTATATTAAGTGCCTTCCCACGTACTATGAGATTGCCGGATCCTTTTACACCAAACCTTAAAGTAGATCTATTGCCAGAAATATCACAACCACCAATAATTTTATCAGATTACTCTTCGGCTTTAATAACACATGGGCTTAAAGATGATGTTGATGAGTATTTAAAATTACGTTCACCAATTAGCTTTTCAATGGAATTGCATGATAAATTATTATTGGATCCTAGCCAACAAGATACAGCTCTTATTGTTTCCAAGTATAATATACCACTCCTCAATGCTCTTGTTCTTTATGTTGGCATTAAAGATGTTTATGATAATTTTCAAGGAACTTTAATTACAACAAGCCCGTCTATGGATATTTATAAACAATTAGTGGCTGATCTTGATCCAGAAGGTTGGTTATCTAATTTATATGAATATTATAAATTAAAACAGTTTCTGATTTATAAAACAATTGATTTTATCAGGCCGTTATTATTTTTTGAGTGCCATTGCAAATCAACTTCGATATCCCAATAGTCATACACACTACTTTAGTTGTGTTTTGTTATATATTTTTGCAGAAGGCAAACAAGAGGGAATCAAAGAACAGGTGACAAGGTATAATCTACAAGAATTTTTTGATTTATTGGTTAATTAATTATTTTGCTTAAAAAGACCTTCCTTATAATTTTATTTATTTTATTTTGTTATTCATGTCAGAGTTTTATTGGAAAGATTGATTGTGAACAGACCACATCCATGGGGGCTTTTAATTACTTTTATAGAATTGATCAAAAATCCTTTGTATAATTTCTGGAGCCATGCATTTACAAGATGTGCAGCAGACATAGAACGTTTATTTGAAAGTGTTAGCAGGTAATCAATTATTTTACAAAATTTCACTTTTATATACACATAACATTACATTAATTTTAATTATTATTGTTTTTTATAAGGTCTATAAACCAAGTATAGTAATTGTAGATTGTAGATTTCTTAATCTCTTATTTCTCTATTATTTTTAAATCTTAATTAAAACATTCACTAAAATTACACTTATATAATTGTACAGAATTAATATTTCTCCTTTTTTATTTTTTTCTTTCTTTTATTTTTTACTTTATTCTTTACTTTATTTAGATGTTTCACATTGTTACTATTTAAGTATATAGAAAATTTTCTATTTGTATGCTATTTATGTGTGATTGACAATAAATTATTCTATTTTCAATTAATATACCATCATTATCACCGTTACTACAAAATAATAAATTTAAATCATGGCAGGAGCTACAGGTTCTCATGGTTTTCCTGTGCCTGGTAGAGGATATGTGTTTGCTAGTAAACTACTTGGTGGATTTGCTGCATTTTGTATGTATTTTATTTTCACAACCAAATGTGACATGCACATTTTTAATAAAATAGTTTTTAATATATATATATATATATTGTTATAGGGATTTTATATCGTGGAAAGCAAGATTTTCCGGTGTTATTGGTATGTTAGTAAAAATTAAGTTATTAATTTTTTAATTATTAATATTATTAATAAAAATTATGATTATTTAGGGATTAAAACATCCTTGGGAAGCTCATGGTCATCATCATGGTCATTCACCAATAAAAGACTCAACTTTATTGAATGAAGAAAAGAGTTAAAAGATTATCAAATTTAATTATTTAATATTATCCTTATTATTGTTTTCAGTGTCATCATTCTTGTTTCATCAACAAGTAAATGGACCAGTTATACAAATAAAATAGATTATTTCATAATTAAGGTAGTTTTCTTTCCCGTTATACATTCTTTTCATTTTTTAATTAATATATTATTTTAATAATAAAAGACACAACAAGGGATTCGTTATTGTTGCTGTTTAGTCAGGCCTTTAAAATCAAAAAATGCATCTCAATGTAGTAAATCAGATAGAAAAATTATTATGTGTAGTTTGAAAATGAATTTATGCCAGAAATTTTTAATGTAGTAAGTAACTTATTACAAAAATTCCAATTTAAATAAATAAATAATGAATTGATTAAATACAATATCCCACTGTAGAATGAGATAGAGAAAAATCTAAGGCGCTGTTATAATTCGAATAGTATTGGTATTTCCAAGTCCTGAAAAAAGATAAATTAAAAATAATGGTAATAAAATATAATTTTCAAAAATGGAGAAAAAATCATTAATTATGTACCTCCTTTCCAGCCTTGAATTGCAACAACACAATCACCACTTTTAAGCATACTGATAAAAAAGAAATTAATAGAATATAATAAAAAAGTAATTAATTAAATCTATTTTTTTTTGCAATAAAAGTTTAAGTTATACAAAATACTTACTTAAATTCAATAGCTTGTTGTATTCCCCAACTAATTCGACTTTCCACATCATCTTGCCAATTGCAATCATCACTATCATTTCCAAAATGATAAATGAAAGGATAACAACCTCTAGAAAGATGAAGTTGTCTAGCAGTTTTTTCATCCCTGGTCACAGTAATAATAGGACAACGAGGTCGGTATTTTGAAATATATCTGGCAGTGTTTCCCGATGTTGATAAGACAAGTATACATCCAGCACTTTGTTCATGTGCTGCAGATACAGCTGCTGAAGCTATAGTTTCTGTAGTTTGAGTTGGTAAAGGTGTAATAGCACGTAATTCATTATAAAGTGGTGGGTAACATATTACTGACTCTGCAATGAGACATGTTTCATGCATCATCTTTACTAAATAAATTTAAAGGGCAGTTTGTTTTAATACAATTTCTAGTCTTGATAATTTTTAATGGATTCTTATATATTAAATTAAAGAATAATGCGCAAACCTGCTTCAATTGGATAATATCCTTTGGCAGTTTCACCAGATAACATAACACAATCAGCTCCATCAAGTACAGCATTTGCAACATCACTGACCTCTGCTCGTGTTGGCCTTGGGTTGAACTATATTACAAGATTTTATTAAGAATAAATAAATAGTATATATATTAACAAATTTATATTATTTGTTCAATCTATATATTAAAAATTCATTTTTTTAAAAAACTTCTTACTGTCATCGATTCAAGCATTTGAGTAGCACTAAAAAATATTTGTAAAATTATCAAAGGATTATTTAAGATATTCAAATGTAAAATGGTAATATGGATAAATGTATGGATAAATAAGGTTTCCGTACCAAATAACTGGCTTTCCAGCAATGTTACATTTTGCAATTATCATTTTTTGAGCAACAAATACATGCGAAGCAGGTATTTCTATGCCAAGGTCACCACGAGCAACCATGATGCCATCTGCTTCTTTAAGGATTTCATCAAAATTATCAACACCTTGTTGATTTTCAATTTTGGCAATAATTTTAATATTAGAGCCCTTTTCACCCAATATGCTTTTTATTTGAATAATATCTTGAGCACGTCGAATGAAAGATGCAAAAATTATATCTACATCATTTTCTACTCCAAAAAGTAAGTCATTCTTATCCTTCTCTGAAACAGCTGGTAAATCAACATTTGTGTTGGGAAGATTTACACCTTTTTTACTACAAAGTTTTCCATCATTGACTGCATGAACTCTGACGTGATCATCATGAATTTCAAGAACCTTGAATGATAAGATACCATCATCCACATAAATATATTTACCCACTTCAATAACTTTAGTGATGTTTTTATAATCAATATACATCACATCTGAATCACAACATTCTGCATATTTTTCATCTGTGCTGAAAGTCATTTCATGACCTGCTGTGATATCAATCTATTAAACATATATGGAAGAAATTTTGAATTCTGAAGTTATTTGATAAGTATTTACAGACATAAATGCATTAAAGTATACCTCCACATTATCACGCATCAAGCCAGTCCTAATTTCAGGACCTTTCTGTTAATTACAGTCATATAACATTTGTTGAGTTTATTTATTAAATATATAAACAAATAGATAAACTTGTGAAAATTATTTAAATCAATTTACCGTATCTAAAGCAATAGCAACAGGTGTTCCATAATTCACTAGAAAATTGATTTTAGAATTTAAAATATAAACAATTTATTACATAGTATATGTGATTGTATTTCAAATCAAATGACATCTTACACTTATAACCTTCACGAGTATTTTCTATTACAGATTTATGGTACTAATCATTACAAAAGTTGCATATATTTATTAAAATATAAAGGATCTTTAAAAAAAAACCTATACAATTTGTATTTTTTTTCACCTCATAAGAACCATGTGAAAAATTCATTCTGACAATGTTCATACCAGCATTTCGTAATTTAGATAACATTTCAACACTATTGGTTTTTGGCCCTTTAAAATAAAATATTTATTTACTTTGTTATTAATGATTAACAAAATAACCAACGAAAAAGTTTACTACCTATAGTGCAAATGATAGATGTTTTACGAGAGTTTTTCACTGGCTTATTAACGACTAGAGAAGAAACCCATTCTAAATTAGTTTTTATAATTTCGTAAGGCATTTCAAAATTATTTTTAAAGATTTTCAAAAGAGTATAAAGAAAATATTTATCATTTATTTATTATTATTATTGTTATAGAATAAAATACAATAGAATAGATAGATAAAAAAAGATAAATATAACAAGATATCTATTTTATATCTGCAATACTGATAATACTTAATTAGTAATAGTAAATTTCGTAAAAATAAATACAAAAAAATATTGCATCACATGTATCCTTCTTTATTGGGATGTGGGATTACTGATATCAATGGTTCAGTTCAACCAATATATTAAAATTCTTGTGTAAATATTTCTTCTACTAATTAGGAGTCACTGTAAAAATTATTTACTAAAGGCTTAACGTGATTTGTTACTGTTTTACCAACACTACCAAATAAAACATTTGGAATTAAGGTAACGCGTAAATGGAATTTGATATGTCAAAAAAAAAATTTATTTCATACAAAACTTCAATATGTTTTATCAATAAAGTTTCTAGAGATCTCAAAAAAAAGTTTCTCATTACATATAAAATTATTTATGGCCACTAAATACTCGGTTTAAGTTAGTTACTCTATACTCTGTATAAAAATTTTGTACTTGAGGCAATCAATTTTGTGCGTTATACAATATTTGAGATGATAAAAAATCCTCAGATACAAAACTGCAAGTTTTCCTTGGAAGAGAAAATATTTTTCATCATATGAAAAAATTGGGAATATATATATACTTGAGAAGAATGTAGGTGTCTAGAATATTAAACCATAAGCATAAAGATAATAATAGTAGTAATGAAATAATAATTCTCAAAACACAAACATTCAAAATTTCCAACTTTGTTGAAGATTATAATAAATATGATATAACTTTGATACTTCGATTCAATATTTAAATTTAATCAAAACCAGGAAATAATCAAAATTAAAAAAAGTTGATCGGGAAAATATTGTTAAATTAATTTCAAATAAAGGAAATTAAACTATTTTTAAACTTTTTTTTAAAACTCCGAAGCTGCTCCAAAACTCCTAAACTGTTCAAAGGGGTGGTAAAAGACTTGGTTTAAAGATGAAAGAAATGTTCTTGGCTGGTAAATAAAGAAAAATTTCACCTGATGATATGTTCAAATGCATGCTGAAAATAATGAAATAGTAACCTTTTTTCAGGAATATGTTTTCTGAGATTTGTTTTATAACTGAAAAGGAAAAAGTACTAAGTATATAGTTAGTGCAAGTCACTTAGCCGCTGGACACAACGAAATTCTTCGGTCACGTGCCTTCAGAGTCCCGTATCACGCAAAAATTTAGCCAACAATTGTTGTTAAAGAGCAATGATTTAATTGTTACGCGACTATTATTATAAATATGGTTTTAGGGAAAAATTCGCAGTTTTATTATGAAAGGTCAACTTTAGTATATATTATTATTATCATCATTTGTGACTCAGATGTGATCCCACAATATAAATGAACAATAAATTTATTTGAACTTACTTGAAAATAGGGTTGAAAAGTTTCACTAATATTAGCTTTCTTAACAAATGTAATAACCATTTTCTTTTGTTGCATTACTTAATTCATTGCATTGCTGAAAAATGGACAATGTGCTGATATTATAGATGCATCTTCTTTAATGTTTGGTTTTGCACCAATATATATTTTTACAACAACCTTTCATTTTCATTAAAATATTTTTCACATTTTAGGATAAAAAAATGTGAATGGCCAATCATGTTACAGTTAAATTTAATTATGCAGGTCAAAATAAAGGTTTTAAAAGTGTATAATACAGTAATATAGTAACTAAACTTTGATTTTATAACAAAAAATATGAATGCAAGTCATATCATTTATACTGTATGTAAAGCATGATTAAATGGTGTCAAGTTTTGGTTGAAAAAGCCAATAATGGGCAAAAAAGTCAATAATTTTATCATTTTGTTTGTTTTATTCGAATAAACATTCAATGTAATTCAAATACTCAAATTCATAATGAATAAATAAATAATTCTTATTCAAATAGAAACCCTACTATAACTAATTGCTGGTAGAAAAAAAAAATTATTATCACTACAAATTGACTGGATAAAGAAAAGAAACAATTACTTCTGATACTACTGATACTACTACTATCACTACAAGGGCAAATAGAACTGATAAAAGTTATTTAATTGGATTG